ATCCCCCCGCCGCCCTCGCGCGCGGCCCGCGCCCCTCCCCCCCGGCCCGCCCCCGCCGCGCTCGCGCCCCGCCCGCGAGGCTCGGTTCTGGTCTCCGGTGCTCGTCCCGGCCCAAAATGGCCCCTGGGCCGTCGGGGCCGGGGCGCGCGCGCGCGGGGCGACGAGCGGCGCTGGGAGGGGGCTATACCCACCTGTTGGGGACCGGGGGTGGCCCGCGGGACGCGGGCTGAGTAGCGGCGAGTGACCAGGGCATCCCGGTGGCCGGCGGGCCCGGCGGCGCGAGGCCTGGGCCTGGGTCCGGGCCGGAGCCCCTGAGCAGGAGCACGTGCCTCTGAGGCTCTGGCTGCGATCCCGCGAACAGGAGTTTGGGGACCTGGGGGGCGAGCGGTCTCCTCGGGGCCGGTGCAGGGCTGCGAGGTGTGCAGGCACCGGGAGTCCTGTTGTAGGGGCCACAAGCCCGAGGGTTTGCAAGCCTCTCGGGGGCGGCCTTAGCAGGGATTCCTGGGGGGGGGAGGGTTGGCTACAGCAGGGGGCCTTCATCCCAAGTGCAGGTCTGAGTCACCCCAAACTTTTCTCGGCCTGCTGCTCACCCTAGCCTAGCAAGGAGTCACTTCACGAGCCTTTGGAAGGGCAGAGGTCCCTACTGAGCTGGAGCCGTGAGGGCCTGCCTGTCGCGGCTGGTCCCCTGTTGTTGGGCCCCCCGGAAGCCCTTTTCTCCAGTTTGTGTGTGTGTCTGTGTGAGTGATGGGGGCACTCTGGGATGGCCTTGCACGCATCCAGTGCACGCAGACCCTTACAGCCTCATCCCATAGCCTTCCACCCCATCCCTGGACTTGGAGTCCCTCTCTGGGTTCAGTCTGAATGTGGGTAAGGTCTCTTGCTGCTATCTCCCCCAACCAGCAAAGTTGGCTCTGCTGTGAGAATGTGATGGAGTGGGAGACCACCCAGAGACTCCCCATTACCACTCCCACGGATGACCCTGACCCCTGAGTGCCCAGGTCATTTCCTTCCATCTCACACCAGCAGCAGCCAGCCAGCCCAGTTCTGAGGCCTTGGGTGCCGTTGTCTCCACACAGATGGGTCGTGTACCCACAGCAGGCACCCTGGGTTCTTCTGCCCTCTCGGGGAAATCCTGGCCTCACACCTTTGCTTCCTGCCATGTCCTGCCACAGGGTACAGCCCGGAGTGTTGAGGCCCCTGTCAGGTGGGGCTGGTCCTTGTTGATGCTTCAGCCTTGCCAGTCCTGGAGGGGATGGGCCAGAGCACTGGCTCCTCCAGGCTTACTGACTGGCCTGCCTTCCAGGGCAGAGGCTAGCTCTGCTCTGCTCCTGGCTTCCCTGGCGTCTCTTTTCCAGGTGCTGTTTCTTGCCATGCCTCATGAACCTTTTTTGCATTCAGAGCCCCTTCCAGTTTGGCATGTTCCTGCTAATTTGGCTGCTGCTTCCTCAGGCTCTACATCTAGTTCCCCCATTCTGGAAGGTTCTCCTTCACCTGTGAAAGACTTCCATTATCCCAGTCCCCGGCCACCCCTTCCCCCTAGTTCACATTTCTCCCTTGCTGCCGTTTCTGGCCCATGATGTAATGTCATATGCTGAAGAAATGAATGAATAGCAAGAGTGGAGGTCTGGGCTCCTGCATCTGACTCGTGGCAGGGGGTTGGTGAGAGTAAGGAAAGTGGGCTGCAGGGCACTTGATTCTCAGCCCAGGTGTAGATGCCAGCCTTCCAGTGTCTAAGGGTCCCACCCCTGTCTGCTTGGCAGAGAGCTTCAGCTAAGGCCTTAGCAGGCTTATGAGGAAGACCTAGACTTTGACTCTCTTGTCCCTGTCTCAGTTTCCCCACAGTATGGCTAGAGATCCTTCTCTGTTCTTATCCCATGCCCTGTGGCTGCTCCTCTAGGGCATACCTGGTACCCTGCCCTGTCTGAGGTCCCATGAGGGTGGGTGGCTAGACCATGAGCCTTCATGCCAGGCAAGTATGTATGTGTATGGCTATGGAACAGGCACAGGTCTGTATACCTGTGTGTGTGCTGGCTGCCATGTGTGGTCCGGGGCACGGAGTGCTTTGCGGTGCATTGGTCCCCAGGAGGTGTCCATGGCAGGTGAAGGGCCAGCACCTATAGAAGGACTTTGTGGACAGGCAACTCTAGTGCCATCCTGAGTCCCAGCAAAGCCTTGGGATGGTGCTCTGGGTGTTGGCTGTTGGCTTCCTGCCTCAGGCACTGCTTGCCAGAATCTCAGGCCCCCAGATGAGAGAAGACACACTGGCTCTCTGAGCAGGCCTTGGTTCAGTCTGTTGTTGTCTGGTGTTTGGTCCTCTGGGAAGTCTGCCTTGTCCTGAGGGAGTGGCCAGTGGGACCTAGCTTGGGATGTCTTCCTTACACCCCCCTCTTGGCACATGTAGCAAAGAAAAGTACAGGATGCGCCGTCAGGTTTAAATTCCAGAAACAGCCATGCCCTACTGTAAGTGTCCCAAATGTTACGAAGGCATGGACGCTGGAGGAAGAATGTGATTTGTGATTTCCGTGTCCTGTAGGCTCTGTTGCGGGCTGTCTGGAGGCCTTGTCAGGGTGGGCTGGGCTGGGCTGGATGAAGGTGTAGGAGAGGAGGTTGCAGGAGCCAGCAGACCACTTGGGCCAGGTGGCCAGCCAGCGAGGGAGCTTGGACTGCTTCTTAAGAAGCTCTCTGGGTAGCTGCTGCCTGTCAGCAGCAGAGGTACTGAGAGCGGAGGTGGCCTGGTGAGGGTTTGAGAGCTCAGCTGCAGATTGAGGGCACCCTGGGCCAGCTCTGTTTCTTACCTGTGTGTCTGTTACAAAGTCAAGTGGCATTTTTGAACAGTGGTGCAGAAGTTGCCTTGAATCTTCCATCTCACAGCTGCTTATACATGGGAGCTTTTTTTCTTTAATTGAAGGCTATCGCCATTCCTTGTCCATTTTTTTTTCCCTCTCTTTGCAGGAAGTTAACCTCCTGTACTTTTGAATAGCTTTGAGCTGTGGAAGGTTACAGAAAGGGACAACCTGCAGGCCACAGCCACATCACAGCTGTCCTTGTTCTGTCTTGGTGTGGTATTTCATATGCCCAAAGCCAGCCTTTTGGTTCCCTACCTTGGGGTTTTCATTTATATCATCATTTGTGGTGTTAGACACAGTTTCGTTTTCTGCTTCAGTGTTTTTTGTTTTTATTTATTTACTTTGGTTTTAGGAGACAAGGTTTCTCTGTGTAGCACTGACTGCTCTGGAACTCAATCTGTAGTTTAGGCTGGCCTTGAACTTACAGAGATCTGCCTGCCTCTGCCACCCAGTGCTGAGATCAAAAGTGTGTGCTACCATTGCCTGGCTTGTTTTTGTTGTTGTTGTTTTGTTTTTTGGTGTGCGGTACTGGGGAGAGTAAAGCACTGAACAGTGAACTCTAGCTTCAACCCAGCCATTTTTACTCTTCAGATGAAACTTTTGACTGAGTGTGCCCATGGTTGAAAATCCCAGCCTTGCAGAGCAATGCCGATACCGTGAGCCTGTGCCATGTCCTAGTGACTGTGATCTCCCCGGCACAGAGCTATTTTGAGGAGCCCTGTTGAGGCTTGTGGGTCTTGCCCAGCTTTTTGTCAGAGCACATGCTGTAGGGAGGACCCCGTTTTCATTCTTCCCTCCCCTGCCTCAGCAGCAGGAGTTGCAGAAGTAGGCCACACCCAGGACTGCAGTGTATCTACGGAGCAGCGTGGGGCCACCCAGGCTCTTGGCCACTGAGCTTTCAGCTGGGGGCTGCAGGGTAGTACTCCAGGCGTGGCCTGCAGCATCCCACGGAGGCCTGTTCCCCTTCCTGTTTCAGCTGCTGAGCCTGGCTAGCTTGCCCCCATGTGGGGTGAGAGGTAAGCTGTGCCTGCTTTTGGCTTTGTGAATTGTTTTGATTAAAAAAAAAAAAAGATTTATTTATTTATACTTATGAGCACTCAATCTGTATGTATGCCTGCATGACACAAGAGAGCATCAGATCCCATTATAGATGGCTGTGAGCCACCATGTGGGTGCTGGGAATTGAACTCAGGTCCTCTGGAAGAGCAGCCAGTGCTCTTAACCACTGAACCATCTCTCCAGCTCTGAGAGGGCAGATTTTGGCATTAAACTCCTGTATTAACAGCAGTAACAAAAACCAAAGTTAACGGTCCAGAGAAGTGGCTCTCATGGCTGAATCCCAGAACATGGTGCTTCCCTGTGGATGGGCTCATGGGACTGGCACCCATATACGGTGCCTCTGTGGCTGTCCACTGAGCAGGGTGCTGCTGATCTGTGATGCAGAATGTCACTTGAACATGTCATAAATGATGC